CATGGAGACTAAATTAATATTTATTAAATGATCCTATATTCTCGGATAAAATTCAACAAGAAATAGGTCAATATTTTAATATAAATAATTTCAGAAACATAAACTATACAACATTATGGTTAGCACACAAACCAGTAATAAGAGGACTTCTTATCAGTAGAGCCTCTTATCTTAAAAAACTTAATCAAACAGCTCTGCTGAACCTCTTAAAAAAACTTCAAGAGCTCCACAAACAGAATCAAGCAAGACCTTCCGCTTTTCTGCAAGATAGCATACAACAAACACAAAACAATATTAATGAAATCCATCAACGACAAGCCAGCATTGCACTGAAAAAACTTAAGGCGACTTCATATACTATGGGTAATAAAGCCACGAGGGTACTTGCACAGAGACTTCACGACAAACAAACGCAATCTAGAATTCCATTTATACTCTCAAGGACAGGACAAAAAATTCTTCAACCAAACCAGATCTGTGAGGAATTTGCAGTTTATTATAGCTTATTATACAATTTAAAAGACCAAAAAACCTTCCAAAACCAACCTCTAGAGGAATAGATCAATACTAATCTACCTACTCTACAGGATCATCAATTGGCACAGCTTATAGCTCCCATTACAACAGAAGAAGTAATACAACAAATAAAGGGATTAGCCAAAGGGAAAGCACCAGGACCTGATAGTTTCTCTGATTTATACTATACTTTGTTTAAAGAATTTTTGGTCGACCCATTGACTCGTTTTTTTAATGAAGGCACTAAAACAGGACATTTTCCAACTGAATTTTTAGTGGCACAAGTAAGTAGCATTCCAAAACCAGGGAAGCCCTTAAGGCTTGTCAGAATTTTAGACCTATATTGTTATTGAATATAGACGCTAAAATATATGCAAAAATATATGCAGAAAGATTAAAATCCATTTTACCTACTTTAATCCATACAGACCAAGTGGGATTTGTGTCAGGCAAACAGGAGACAGATAACATGCGGAAGGTATTAGATATTTATAATTTTTTTAAATCATCTAAGCAAGAAAGTATTATAATATCTTTAGATGCAGAAAAGGCTTTCGATCACCTGAATTGGCATTTTCTCCATGAAACTCTAAAGGCATATAGATTCCCTCCTGCCTTTCTTTCGATGACTAAAGCTCTCTACAGTAACCCCACTGCTACAGTACTGAACTCAGGATTTTGTTCAAAATCTTTTAACATTTCAAATGGAACACGTCAGGGGTGCCCCTTATCTCCTATGCTCTATGTCCTCGCTTTAGAGCCTTTACTTACAGCTATACGACAGAATAAAGATATACACAGGGTCAAAATAGGCAGGAGCGAATACAAACTCACCGCTTACACAGATGACATCTTACTAACGATCACTCAGCCACACATTTCTTTACCAAATTTAAAGAAAGAACTACATTTATACAGTCAAAATTCGTACTATAAGCTTAATACCAGCAAAACGCAAGCAATGTGCCTTAATATTCTTAAAATACGAGAAGATAGACTTAAATCAGATTATCATTTTGAATGGAGGGAAGATTATCTTTTATATCTGGAAATTAGATTTACAAAAAAAGAAAAAGATTTATTTTCAGCCAACTATATAAAATTACTGAAAAACATTGAAAACCAACTGAAATCCTGGGGAAGTGTGCTACTATCATGGGTAGGTAAAATATCAGCAGTTAAGATGCAAATTTTACCAAAAATACTTTACCTATTTAGAGCTCTACAGATCAAGATCCTGCAAAAATTTATCACATCCCTACAAGCGATATTACTATGTTTTAGCTGGGGAGGAAAACATCATAGAGTCCCAAAAGGATTTATAATGAGACAAGTGGGTAATGGGGTTTCCAAACCTGAAAATGTATTACTATGCAGCAAATTTAACTAATATAGCTAGTGTAAACCCACAGAGGTACATTCCGCAATGGGTGGCAATAGAAGAACACTGCTGTGGAACTCGGGACCTCCATTCTCTAATATGGCTCCCTCAACAAAAACGGAAAATAACTCCAGATACACTACCCTCTACTAGACTTTTACTTAAAATCTGGGACAGTAATAAAGAAAGTCTTTCCTCGGCACACCCATGGTCATTAGCAATTCCTATAAAGATTCTGCATAGCTGTAATGACTCATTTCCTTATTTACAATGATACTGAAAGGGAATTACACATATTTTTAAACTTTTCACGACAGATGGTTTAAAACCATTTTCGGCCCTCCAAATGGAATTCGCACTTCCCCCACAATTTCAATTTGCATATTTGCAGATTAAAGCGCTTCTGTCTTATTCTGTCAATTTATATATAAGGCATCAAATAACTCGAAACGCATTCATGAAATTTGAAGAGTTGTGTGTAGCACTTACTCCTCCTAGGAAAGTGTTATCGATCAGCTATAACACTTTAATTAATCCAAAAGAAACACCACCACCGAAATTCATGACAGACTGGCAAACGGATATCCAAGAAGTTATACCAGAAGACAAATGGGATAAAATTTTCACTGTTCGTAAAGGAATGTCATCATGCACAGCACATTTTGAAATATCACGGAAAATAATGTACAGATGGTATATGGTACCCACTCGCCTTCGTGCAATTTATCCTAAAATGCAAGACACATGTTGGAGATGCCACTCTCATAAAGGCACTATGTTACATATATGGTGGACATGTGGGAGAGTAAACAGTTTATGGGTAAATGTTGAAAGACTGATTCAAGAGGTGACATCTTATAAACTGGATCATACACCGAAAGTGATGCTTCTTAAGTTCTCCTAGATAATATCATTAAACCTATGTGGAAATTGATATTCTTACTATTATCCACAGTGTCAATACTTATAGCTAGAAACTGGAAGACTACAAGTTTACCTTCAATACACGAAATCAAATCATTAATGTCATTGACCATAGATTATGAGATTATTATGTGTAATCAGACCACAATTGGGAGATTAAACCCAAAGGTAGCTAATTGCTGGAAAACTTTTATACAAACATAAGAACGATACAAGCATAGCAGACACATGAGGTATATACTCAGAATAAGATGCTATAATCATATAATTCACACTTATTCCTTTTACAGTTTTAGGAATTAATTGAGAAGAATTAATAACTACTTTCCTACCTTGGTTATAATGTGTTTTTATCATTGATCTGGGGTGGGTTAAAACATAGTTTAGCCACAGGAATACTTAATAGGTAGGCTAAATAATCTACTAGATAATAATAAGCAACTGAAACAGAGTAAATATTAGTCTTTATTACTAGAATTTTTGGACAGATGTAAATATTGGAATGCTATTGACTGTACCCTTTTTTCTTTTCTTTTTTTTCTCTTTTTTTCCCTCTGTTGTGTTGCAGTCTCTAATATATTCAGAAGAAAAGATAGAATGGATATAGTAGTAGACAGTAGGCTAAATATAATGGATATGGATAGTATATATTCACTCATTATTAAAATGTTATATTGCTATTGACTGTACGCCCGATCCCTTTTTTTCTTCTTTTTCTTCTTTTTTAATTCTTTATTTTGGTGGTGCATAGTAAGCATATCATTTGTACTGTACAGGTGTGTCCGACATTGGCAGGAAAAAGTTTAACTCAATACAGCAATAACATTTCTTTTTTTTTAAGAACAGAGTACAATAACAGTATATGACAATTCGAGCGCATCTGAGAGGAGTTGTGGGTGTCTTGTGCCTCAAGGGGGTAAGCTCTCAGGTGCTCCCATGCGATGGGTAGGAGATATATGCAAGATTGTGTGTTGAGGGTGGTATTGGCATATCTTGTGAATGCCTGTAGCGAGATGTGTGAGTTTCCCTGGTGTGTGTGTGTCATTTGCCTAGTGATTGAGTTGTTGGAATGCGTGGGTGTGATTCGCTCGGCGCTCTACCATAATGCCTATGGGGTGATGTGCTTCCTCCTCGTTATGTGATACCCCTGACCAAGGTGGCAGCGGGGGGGGTGATGTGGTAGTATGCGTTGAGACTCCTATCTCTGTGGATTCTAGCGCTCATGTTGGGTGGTAACTTGACCACGTGTGGGAGAGATTAAAGAAAAAACATCCAAATATACAAATGCAACTTAAAGCAAAACATAAATAACAGCGCCTCTTTGAGTATGCCCCAGGAGCTGCTGCTCAAGTGCTATGGCCTTATTTGTCGGCCCAGTCTCCAAGTTTTGTCAGGTTTCAGCTGCCTGTGAGCCTCCGGCTCTCGGGACGAATGGGGTGAGGTGGGTAGGGTCCCAAGTGTTCATGGGGGTGGTGGACTGTGGGTCCTGGTGGCTGTCTGCTAATCCCAGTGCTTGTAGGAAGGCCGGTGCCCCCTCGATCGCCGTGAGTGTATGATTAGTTCCGTTGTGGGTTACCACAAGAGTTCCTGTGGTTCCCCAGCGGTAGGGTATGGCTGCGGATCTTAGTTGAGAGGTGACTGACCCCAATGATTTTCACCAGACCAGGGTGCACTTTGTGAGGTCTTGATAAAATGTTAGGGAGGAACCTTCGAAGGTCAGAGGTGTTTTATTCATCAGTGCCATCATGATCTGGTTCTTGTCTTGTGAGGTTAAGCAGTGAAGAATGACATCTCGTGCTGCTCCAGTTGGCATTTTGAATGTCCCAATAATGCGATACACTCTGTCCGTGACCATTTTTTTGGCAGTTGTGTGGGGTAGTATGGATGCAAGTAGTCTGTGGGTATAATGTGGGAGTTCCTCAGCTGTCACTGCAGCCGGGATGCCACGTATTTTAATGTGGTTCCTGCACTGTTTGTCTTCCAGGGCTGAGATTTGGTGTGTCAGTGTGATTTGAGTGGTTTGCAGTTGTTGTACTGTCTCTTTAAGGGCTGAGATGTCAGTTCTGGCAACAAGTATTTTCAAGTCCTGCTTAGTTGTGGGAGCTGTCCCATCTGGGATTACAATTGTGTGCAGCAGACTTTCCTGGGTGGTTGGTGTGGCTCCTTGTCTGTCCTGCACCTGGGTCTCATTATTCCGGTCCTCTGCCGGAGTCATCTTGGGCTGTGCAGGCTGCCTCAGCATGTCCCCAATGTCTCTGCCATCAGCGCAGTGGTCGGCTTTTGGGAGCGACGTCCCATTGCGGTCCGGCACTCTGGCTGTGTTAGGGAGGCTGTTGGCTCCGGTCTCAGCGGGGGGTTGTGTGGCATTGCCGCGTAGGAGTGCCTCCAGTCCCAGGCTCAGGGGTGTGCAATAGGCCGCAGATTTGCGCTGTGGTTTCGAGTATTTCGGCGTGAGGAAAAAAGGCATCTATTGATGCGTTGTGGTACTGTGGGACCAGCTGGAACGGTAAGGAGGTCGGATGGGTTATAGTTTTCTTGATATTTGGTTTGATTTAGTCAAGTGTTTGGGAGCTCTTAGAAATGGCATCTGCTCATCAGGCTTACAAGCTCCGCCCCCCCTTTTTTTTCTGTATCCATTTTTTATAATTTACTCGAAAAAATTTAAATTGCAAAAAAAAAAACATTACTGATTTAAAACCAAAATGAATGCACATGTTCCATATGTTGCACATACAATGCAGAAGTATTGTTTCATACCTCTTCAAAATATAATAGATTAGCATGCCTTTGCTTGCGATTATAGGGTAAATACAGAACACTGGTGAGACCTCACTTGGAGTATTGTACACAGTACTGGAGACCGTATCTTCAGAAGGATATTGATACCTTAGAGAGGGTTCAGAGAAAGGCTACTAAACTGGTTCATGGATTGCAGGATAAAACTTACCAGGAAAGGTTACAGGATCTTAACATGTATAGCTTGGAGGAAAGACGAGACAGGGGGGATATGATAGAAACATTTAAATACATAAAGGGAATCAACACAGTAAAGGAGGAGACCATATTTAAAAGAATAAAAAGAAGAAAACTTACCACAACAAAAGGACAGTCTTAAATTAGAGGGGCAAAGGTTTAAAAATAATATCAGGAAGTACGCTTTTTAATCTAAATTTTTTTACAATCTGAAACGGAATCAGCCTTAGTTAGTATCATATCTATTCTTGAATAAGATTGCTTTTGCTAGATTATTTTGTCTATTACTCCTTTTACAATTAATTATATTATGTTTATCCATATCAAAATCAGCAAAACAATTAAAGTCTCCACAACAAATAAATGTGCCCTGTAAATAAGCACTCACTTTCTGTAAAACTGCATTAAGAATTGTATCTTCCTGGAATTTGGTGCATATATATTAAGTATTGAAAATACTCTGTCCTCTATCTTGCAAACCACAAGGGAGAATCTTCCTATTGAATCGCTCTGTTTATATATAATTTCTATTTTAAGATTATTCGAGAAAAGAATAGCTACACCCCGTTTTTTCCCCCCCATATCGAGGAGTGTTCTATTACAGCGTATTTTCTATTATTTGAACGTACTATTTCATTTCCTTGCATATGAGTTTCCTGAATACAGCATACATCCAGATTTCCTTTCACTATATATTCATAAAACAGAGTGGGGAATTTAATCCTTGGACATTCAAGGTCATAATTTTAATTGAATCCTCCATTAAATAGTCTTACTATGCTTTTACCAGAGGTCCGCTTCCCCCGTGCGCACATAAAACCATAACAACAATAAATACATATAAAAGAGTCCTTACAAAAGGATTACCAAAACATAACTTATGGAATAGAGAGGAAACCCTTATTCCTCCATTCCACATTATCCTTTAATAATCAAAAGTAAGGGCCTATACGGGATGACCCTTTCCAATAGGAGAGTAGGAAAGAGAGAGAGAAAGAGAAAAAAATAATTTGTATTGTCATGTAATAAAATACCTTTCTCTTTCAATAAAATTTTCACTCTTATAATCATTGCCTATCTTATCTCTCCTTTCCACCGTAATCCATTTTACATATCTTCCATCCTTTACTGAGTGGGTAGTGGATGTATGGAACAGCCTTCCATCTAAAGTGGTAGAGGTTAACACAGTAAAGGAGTTTAAACATGCGTGGGATAGGCATAAGGCTATCCTACATATAAGATAAGGCCAGGGACTAATGAAAGTATTTAGAAATTGTGCAGACTAGATGGGCCGAAGACGGGTTCTTATCTGTCGTCACATTCTATGTTTCTCTGTCTCTATGTTACTAATAAATTCATATAAGGAGACAAAATAAATAAAATATTGTTTACAGATAATTTCTTATCATTCAAAGCCTTTAGGGAAAAATTGCTAATTCACCCACATCCACTTTCCTTAAAGGAACACTATAGTGTCAAGAATACAAACATGTATTCCTGACACTATAGTCCTGAAGTGACTGTTTAGGTGTCTAACCCATCTCCGATATCAGTAAAAGGTGATTTTACTCACCTTTTCTCCCACACCCCTCCTGTCTTGCTGTGCTGTCTTGATGATCTTAGCCAATCCAATGCTTTCCCATAAGAATGCATTGGAAGGCTATTGCACATGTGCGGCAAACGCTGTGCTACACCAATCATCATCTCCTCATGGAGATGCATTGTATCAAAGCATCTCTATTGGGACCATTGAGCACCTCCATGCAGAGCGTGGAGACGCTGAATGCTGAACTGTGCAGCACTGGACTAGGAAGCACCTCTTGTGGCCGTCTGAGTTACTGCCACTATAGGTGTTACTAGGCACCAATGAAATCACTGACTTTTCTCTGAAATGGGACAGGAAGGGACAGGCTATAGATACCAGAGCCACTACATTAAATTGTACTGGTTCTGGTGATTATATTGTTCTTTATACTCATTGTGTAGTAGCGATTATAAAACAACAAAAAGGATTCTATACCAACACAGTTTATTTTCTAATATTTGGGACTTCATATTTTCAGCAGAGGCCAGCATAACACCCATCTAGAGCTGATATTATTTGACTATTTTTAACAGATATATTTAAAAGTCGAAGCAGTTGTTGTGACTTTTGGTGGATGCTGAAGTCAGTCTTCCTAAGGGTATAAAACTAGAAAAAAACCACAAAGGAATGTGCAATATAATTGGTGCTAACCCACATGCAGCTATTAAGACCGTGGAACCAATCACAATAAATTCCACCTTATATAAAACCAAATAAAATTAGGTAGAATAGTGTACAGCGCAAACATATATAATTGTGATCCCAAACTCCCTCTGCCAGGTGTGTGCAATTTGGAGTAAATTAATACAATAGTCAATTAATAAACATATATACCTAGAGAATAGTATATGTTGCTTTTCCCTGAAAGGTAAACAGAAAAATACACTCTCATAGAAGAGTACAGTAATAACAACATTTTTGGCAGAATATTCTCATTAGGTAATCAACTCACATTTTTTATGAGCCTATTGAAAAACTGTCTCAAGTAATACAGCTTCTTATGTCAAATATATCCCTTTCAGGAAAAAAACAGGTCCTCACAGTAGGGACAGAGGACGGGCACCAGCTCTTAACTTTAAGACAAATGATATTTATTGCACAAAATTAAAAACTTACATACAAAGTGCCTCTTATTCAAAGCTATAGAAAAAGAAAAAGCAGGGCAAGAACATCTTCACAATGTGAAAATGAAGCCCCCCCCCCCGGATATTAAACAGTATCCTGACTTAATGGATGGTGAAATGGTTATACTGAAAGTAATTGTAACACAAATATACAAGCAGTAACTACGGGTAATAAATTATATACAGTATGAATCTAGCCTTATAAGGCTAATCCCCTACCTTCAACATTAATCCAAAAAATAAGGGGGTAATGAAAAGTAATAGGCATATAACTGGCTTTATTGTAAATTGGCCAATATAAGCTTGGAGAAATTCAACATTGAATATTAAGTAGGTTCTAGTGAGATGAAGTCTAGAGGAGACCGTAAACTAAATAATTATCCCAAACAAATAGTGGTGCCAATATATATATAGGAGGTAAATATCTTATTCAAAGCTTCCTCAGTTCAGATAAAGCACAACGCGTTTCAATGCCTAAACCAGCGACTTCCTCACTTGCATTACTCTTATCTGTGTGGTCCGATATTTGAAGCCCTTTTGGCGAGAATAATTCTAATTTGAGAATGCTCTCTTCTTCAATTAACTAATCGGGAGCTTCCTCCTCCCTTTGCTGCTCTCGCAGCCACCACGTATATCCGGAACCGGAAATTACGTAGCGCACCCTCGCACGCACCAATATGGCGACCACGAGAAGTGCAAAGGGAAGAGGAAGACAAGATTTATGCACCTGAGGAAGATGCTGGTTTAGACATTGTAATGCAGTGTGCTTTATCTGGACTGAGGAAACTTTGAATAAGAGGCACTTTGTATGTAAGCTTTTATTGTATTAATCCACTCATAATCGCACACACCTGGCAGATTGAGTTTAGGATCACAATTATATGTTTTTGTGCTGTACACTATTCTATCTTGTTTCTAAGAGTATAGGCAAATCTCTTTCTAAAACAGGTGTACTCCTAAAACCGTACATACTCACCTACTCACATACATGTTCTTTACCCACCTTTGTACTATACAGGATCTTTGTACTACACTCAGCATAGGTCCACAATTCTTTATCTATCGTTGTACACTATCCACAGGAGTCTTAACAATATTCAGACTTCATAGATTGGCTCTACTGCTATTTCTGCATACCTCTTTTACTTCTCATTCTCCCATCCTATGCCTTAGGACGTTATACACTTCAGCTGCACTGTGATTTGCAATATACTAGATAGCTTCTCCACATACTGTATACATATGGATAAGCATAAAGGTTATGTACTGAAAAAGTAAGCTAAAAAGTTAAAACCTTAAATGTCAAATGTATATGCTTGCTACCAACTTGATATGGGGTGAGTGTATAACTACCATTAAATAACATTAAATAAGTTCAAAGTAGTCAAAAACAAATCTTAAACCCACTGCTAGGGATTCACCCCCTTGTAGAACTCATTGGACTTCTGCTTCTTATCAGGCTAAGCAATAAAACAAATATTCACATTACAGAACAAGCAACCCTGTTATGCACAGTTGTTGTGTGATTTAGAATAGTTGAAACCAATATGTTCCTATATGACTAGTCATAGTTTATAAACTGTCCAGTTCCTCCATCTAAAAATTAAAGTATAAAATACAATATTTTACAAAAAAGTTGTGCTGTGTCTTTAGAAATAAAATTTCAATGTTTGTATCACTCCCAATACTTCATGTACCTAATATAAAGTGTCATTAAATCCAAAGTGCACTCTGTAAACAATATACATCAATAAAGTGCTTGAAACTTTGTGCAGTTTCTATATA